GACACCTCCGCTCGTGTCCCTCGGCCGGCTCGTCGCCTCTTTGTCACCTTGACGAAGCCGGCTTCCTGGAGTGGCGCCTGGCCCCCTCGCACTGCTGGCTAAGACAGGGGCAGGGATCGCTTTTTATCTTCACAGAGGAGGGAAAGGAAGCGAAACCTGCAGCCGGTGGCGGCTCGGGCGGCGCGGCCCGGGCCCTTCCTGACGCCGCACGGGATATCCGCAGATTAAAACGCGTGTTTGTTCACACGAGGGCTCCTCCAGAAAAGCGCGCTTAGGTATGAGACCCACAAGTCCGTGCCAAGCTGGATGCGGCGTTTGGGGACAAAGGTCGGGCTGGTGGGTATAACTGTCCCGAAGTAAAGCGAAACCGCAGCTGCCGGCTGCACGGCTAAGAACAGTGAGAACGGGATGTGTTCTTGCCTTTCGGGGGTTAAATTCACAGCCTCCTAAAGCGAGCACATGTCCACAAAGGTAGGGGCGAAGCTGGAGGGGACAGAAGCTCATCTCCCACCGGGGGCCGGCAGAGCCCTAGAGACGGAGACCCGGAGAGGAGCCGGAGCAAGAGCAGGGTCCGGGTGGGCCCGACCGAGGGGCTGCCCCACGGGAGGGCTTCGCTGCCTTCGGCCCGGAGGGCTGAAGGGGCAGGGACAGGGCCCAGGCGCCGGGAAGGTGCCTGCGGGGGCCGGGCGCAGCTGCTTTGGGAGGGAGCGGTGTCCCCGACCGAAAGTGACTCGGGCCCAGGGGCAGGCGGTGGAAGGAGTCCTGCCTCGGAGGGAGAACAGCAACATGATCTTGAGATGTGCCCTTCCAATGATAAAATGTGTACGTTTGTTAATTTACAGAATTGCATTGGTGCAAAAGGGGCAATCATTTCACTCAAGGGCCAGAAGTGAGTTCATGTCATCATTAAGCTCTTCAATCACACAGCTGATAGGACTCCTCAAGGTTTTTATTGGAAATATTGCCATAAGTATGTATGGTGCCAGGTGGGTACTTGAAATATTGGGGGGACCGCTTTGGAGAGTATAGGATTGTCTAACCACTATTCTGTACGCCTAAAACTAATACAAAATAATATTGAATGTAAACTGTAACTGAAAAATAAAAATAATTTTAAAAGGTTATTTTTCAACTTAATTGTAAAAAAAAACAAAAAAAAAACAGTTTGGAAATTGGCCCATTGTATTGCTCACTTAGTGATGCTCAAAGCACACATAGCATATTAAGAACTCCAAGAAGGCCTTCAGCAATAAAATCTCCTTAGCTTTAATTCAGAATTTCAAAATGTTGTTTTCCAGAATCAAGCCAGAAAATCAGATGTTTGCTGAGCAAACTGGTGAGGGCAAAACTTCTTCAGCAACGCGATGCTGGAGGCAGAGCCCTAAGAAAATGTTCAGCATCACCTGAGCAAAGACAAATCACTTTCTCAAAACAAGAATAAGGGTAGGAGGGGCTTTGACATGAAAAAATACACCTTTCAGTGCCTGTTGTGTGGAACCAGAAGCATCCAAAAGAGGATTTGTGAAACCTGAACAATAGAAATGAAAATTAGATTATGACAGCACACAGTATTCTTTATGTTTCTCAGTAAGGAGGGTTTGATATTTATTTATGTAATTATAGTTTGCCTACAAAAATTGATCTTATATAACTACATAGTAAACTGCTTATTGATAGTCGAAAAACTAATTTTTTACTGTATTATTAAATATAGCTTGTTGCTTATTTTTTCTTTTGACCTAAGTGACTCAAGGTGATTCTTGGAGATTAATGAAAACTCGAGATGTTTCATCTACATCCAACAAGTTGTTCAGTTCCCAGCTTGAGCACCAACATTGATAATGTGTTGGATTTTCCACAAATATAAGTGGATTTTAAATAATACAAATTTTATATCATGGATTTCTAAAAATAAAATTTTATTTATCAGCCATTTGCGTCTATGTACTGTTTGTGTACGAACATTTTGCCAACCCACCAACCTCACAGGACAATAAACAGGAAAATAGATAGTAATCAGCCTACTTGGAAACCTTATCAAATAGTTAACACAAGGTAAGCATGCAATTAAGAGGGAGTTTTCAAAACTTTAACTACTAATGTCGACGTAAGAAATGTCCAAACAATAAATATTTTTATAATAATTTGTTAGAGCCAAAACTAACAATTCCCAGGAAGCAAGATATCAGTTGTTTGGAAAGTAACAGTTTACAATTTCTTTTATGCATCTTAAATTAAGGAGGGAATGTTAAGGAAGATTACCTGGAGGTGAGAGAAAGCAAGGTGAGGATGAGATTCCAGGCTAGTTAAGATTATACATACACTTGAGGGGTGTCACTCTTTAGAAGGAGGAGTCTAGAAAAAGAAGCATCTCAAAGGTGTGTTAACCGAGATACACAGAAACAATGGACAGGTCTTGCTTAAGGCAAGTAAGCCTTTTACTAAAGAAATTATAGGCCTGGGTACATGACTACCCACCAACCTGCCCAGTTAGGAATTTATGATCTTTCCCAGAACCCTTTTTTCATCCACATTAACTGCTAAATTACTGTTGTTCGTAACTACCAAACTAAGTAAGGCTAATTTCTAGATATTCCACTCTAATGAAATATGATCACCAAAGTACTACTCAGATAATGTTGTAGGGCCCAAAACTGGCATTCTATTAGCAATATCATTACTGAAGAAAAGGACTTCCCACTTAAAATATAAGGTATAAATGTATAGGCTACACTTTTTCTCAGAAATTCGTCTTAAAGATCACATAGTTTTAAATGATAATAATGACAAGAACACTGACCGGGATGTTGAAAGATACCTTCCCTGTCAATGTGACCAGGGAAAGTTGTTTGACCTAACCAGAATGCAATTTCCTATCTATGAAAGAAGAAAACTGGGTGAGAACAAACATACATCCCAGCTTTTTTATTTCTAAATGTCTAATTTGGTAGCAATCTATCAGAACCAAACATAAAGCACCCAGAAGAGAAATGAAAGTTCAGTTCTCCAATGGAAAGGGCATTTAAAGTCAAAGTATCGACTTTTTCCAATAGCTTAAGATGTTTCTCCGTCCAAACCTTTTTTTACCATTGCAACTGAGGAGCAAATTGGCCACTTGAACTTTCTCATGTATTCAATGCCTGTGAAAGGACTAATAGGGAAATCTAAGAGACGGCATGTCCCTTACCTCCTTTCCCTTCCTTTCTCTTTTTCTCCCTTCCAGTCCAAAAGCCATTAGGTGAGACATAGCAGAGTAAATGTATCTGTGCAGACGCGTCATAGTGGCCCAATGAGGGGTGTTGGAATCTGAACCAGGGAAGAAGGGTATCCAAGTAAGGGAGAAACAGCCTGGGCAGTTAGAGCCCAAGCAGGTGACAAAGATGTCCCGATTGTGGGAGCGAATATGGAAAATCACCCCTGCATCCCTAATGAGGTAAGAGTGTGTGCGTGCAGCCCAGCACAGAATGTCAGCACCCAAGTGTGACAAGGAAACACGGCTTTCCACATGGTCTGTGAGAGCTCACGCTGGAGGAGGGAGCCCGTGAAAAGCACTGGCCTTGATGTGGACGAAGTCTGGAGGGCGCCCACGAGCCTGCAATGAAGACAGGCAGCCAGGCGTGGGGAGCGGGAGCCGGGATGGGTGAGGAAGGCACCCCTGTTGGGCGGTGGCCCTGTGCAGGATGTCAGAGATGGACAAGGGTGAGGAGGGAGACCCTGCAAGGTACCAGAGCCTGCAGTGAGGAAGGCGTCTGACATGGGGTGTGACAGTGTGATTTAAATAGGAAATACACATTTGGTTTTCATTCCGTTTCTGGCACACAGCTAAAACCCTTGG